AGTGATTTCTACCTTATGAGATTTGGTAAATGGATTTCAAAAAACGCTTTCTCGAAATGGTTCGTGAAAGAATATTTGTATATGGTACAGTCATAATGGTTTTGAAAATCCAATAATCCTAGGGATGCATAAAAGATCTTTTAATGGATTGAAGTTAGCATCATGGAGTTATTGTTCTTAATTTTTGTGAGTTAATCAAATTGTTTGATATACTCATAAAATGAAGAAAATATCTTGTGTATACAAGATGTTTGGTAGGAGCTATACAATCTTCTTAGTCTAGTACAAAGAGCGATTGTTCGATGCTTGAAGGGTCAAGCGATGGCTAATGCGTTTTGTATGAAAAACTTTAAAGAGAAAGATGAGTACATTTGGGATTCAAGATCTATAGAGATAGGTCTCGAAGGATGTTTAAGCTTTATTGAGAAATTTATATTGATAAGATTCTTATGAGGTTCAACATCATATTGAAAGGAGTTTCAATCCCATGTAACATGGCACATTGCTTAACAAGATTCAGTGCTTTGAGAAAGGCTGATGAAACTAAGGGATGAGTGATGTTCCTTGTGAATTTTGCAAAGGATACATCATTTCATATGTGTCATGGACTATACTCGTTTATTTGATTCAAGAATATGTGGTGATAGATTTCAATTGAAAAACCAATGTAACATTGGAATACAATTTAGAAATTCCTAAATTCCTTGCGAAAGGATGAAGGAAAATTCTTAGTGTATGGAGATGAATATAAAATGATAATTTCTCAAACATTATAAAATTAAAAAGAGGCAAGACCAATGTGGCATGACGGTGACGTAAGTTATGCAGAGCTATTGGTGTGGGTTGATAGTTGGTATAGGAGGTTGTTAGTGTGGATCTGAGCAACAGTTATATGAGATTAATAAATGAGATAGAGAAATGAATGTTAGATGGTAAATAAATGAGATTAACAACTACTATAGGGCTTAACAGTGAGAGAGTTATTACTCTGTATGTAAAGATTTGAATCCACCAGTTTTAATCTTGCTAATTTCACTTGAAATTCGTTTATGTGAGCTTATTGGGACTAATATATACAGAGTAGTTCATACTTATTTTATTAAATTTTATATCTAATCTGTTTTACATTATCTCAACTTGTTAGGATTTAAATTTTCTAAAACCTTTTACAAAGTGAAAATATAAAGTGTAAAAGAATAGAGGACAATAAAGTAAATTGTCAAACTAGGCCTTATTCAAGAATAATTGAGTATTTAAGTTTGTTACAAGTAATAGTTTAGTAAAAGAAGGACATTTTCAATTTTGCTACCACCAAAAGGCAGGCAATTCAGTTTTGCTACCCCTTTAATTTTTTATTTTATTTTGCTACCACCTAAATCACAGTTGTTAAAAATTGCTACCACCTAACGGAAAGGGTTAGGTTTCTGTTAAGTTTATTAAAAAAAAAAAAAAGTAAAATTTAAAAACAAAAAAAAAAAAAAAAAACCCACCACCCTCAACTGCCACCTTCCCCCCTCCCTTTCCTCCATCTTTGCAGCCCAACACAGTCACCACCCTAGCCAGCCCCCTCCCGTCAGCCACCCTCCCCCCTCCCCCCTGCCGGCGACCCTAACGCTTCCATCAACGCAACCCCCCATTTCAACCCTAACGCCCCATCATCGCAACCCAAACCCTTCCATCAACGCAACCCCCCAACCCAACCCCAACGCCCTATCATCGCAACCCATCCCTTCCATCAACACAACCCATCATCGCTGCCCCAACCCCCATTCCGAAACCGGAAACAACCCTCCCTCCCCACCCCACCCCCCCACCGGAATCGGCCTCCTCCCCTTCCCCCACCCTGAATCGACCCCCCTCTCCCCTTCCCCCTTTAAATTTTTTGCGAAGAACCCTAAAAAAATCGAATTGGGGGTTTTTGTTTCACAAATGTATTCGCGCAATTCTTGATCCCAAATGATAGTGTGTTGCATTGTGAACGTTTTGGTACTAATTTTGTGCGTTTTGGTGAAGAAATGAACATGTTACCCCTTTCCTTAAGCTTTGTGCGTGAGTATCAATGGAGTTGGGGGTGGCGTAGGTGGGGGAAAGGGTTTGGCCGTTTGGGGTGGGGTCGCCGGTGTTGGCCCAAGCTTTGGCCGCCGCCGCCGGCAGGGGGGAGGGGGGTGGCTGGCTGGCGGGAGGGGGCTGGCTGGGGTGGTGATTGTGTTGGGCTGCAAAGGTGGAGGAAAAGGAGGGGGGAGGGTGGCAGTTGAGGGTGGTTTTTTTTTTTTTTTTTTTTTAATAAACTTAACAGAAACCTAACCCATTCCGTTAAGTGATAGCAATTTTTAACAACTGTGATTTAGGTGGTAGCAAAATAAAATAAAAAATTAAAGGGGTAGCAAAACTGAAATGTCTGCCTTTTGGTGGTAGCGGAGATGGGTTTGTAATTGTATCTATCGGGGCGGTGATGGGGATGAATTTTAGACCCGCCGCAGGGATGGGAATGGGGATGAATATGAAAATTTTAGACGGAGACGAGAATGAAAAGACCAACATCCTCCCCGTCCCACCCCATTGACATTCCTAGTCACAAGCTACTTTCTGTTGAGAAGCTAGAGACCAAAGTTAAACGGAGAAGCTACAGAAATGGCAGGATTGAAGAAGATGATTGCTAAAGCTTCAGCTTCCTTCATTAATGGCGGTATTACTCTTTCCCCTTCTTTTTCTTCCTTTCCTTTTCATTCTCAATCCTTTTCCAATACCAGATTACGTGATTCTCACTTGTTTCTCAATTCTGTTAGAGATCATTGCAAATTAGGGTTTTCTGATCTCAAATTTCCCCTTTTACTCTTCAATCAAATGATTAATTTGCGCCCTCTCCCTTCTCTTATCCATTTTACTCAGCTTTTTACCGCCATTTCCAAATTGAAACGCCTTGAACCTCATTCCACCATTATCTCTCTCTTCCGGAAGATCGAATTACTTGGTATTTCACATGATAAGCATTCGATTGGTATCATTGCAAATTGCTACTGTCATTTGGGCAGACTTGATTTCGCCTTTTCTCTCCTTGCTAAAGGGCTTAAGCTTGGTTATCCCCTTGATTGTGTCATTTTTAATACCTTAATTAATGGATATGTTCACTGCGATAAGCTACCCCAAGCTGCTCATTTGTTTGATAAAATTCTCAAGCTTGGTTTCCAACCTTCCATTGTTACTTACAGTACTATTGTGAAAGGGCTTTGTAGGATTGGCGACAATGCGTCTGCTCTCACTTTGCTTAAGAAAATGCAATCTGGATCTCATTTTAAGCCTGACATTGTTTTATACAGCACTATCATCGATAGTCTTTGTAAGGACAGGTTGTTACAAGAGGCCCTAGACCTGTTCTCCTCTATGAAAACTGAGGGCATTAAACCCGATGTTGTCACTTATACTTCCTTGGTTCGAGGCCTCTACAATTCCAGCTGTGGGGATGACAGCTCAGCGTATGCTGACTGAAATGCTAGAGAGCAACATAGCACCAGATGTTAAGACCTACAGCATGCTGGTTGACATGTTTTGTAAAGATGGGTGTGTTGATCAAGCACAGTCCATTCTACACCACATGACTAAGAGAGGTGTGGCTCCTAACATCCTTACTTATAGTGCATTACTTGATGGTTATTGTTTGCGTGGTCAGATGGAAGATGCAGAGAACCTACTTGATCTCATGGCTGGAAATGGTTGGGAGCCTAATCTTGTCAGTTTTAATACTATGATTAATGGATATTGCAAGGATAAAAACATTGACAAGGCACTAAACATATTTCATGAGATGTTTCGGAAAGGAATAACCCCTGATGTTGTTACCTATACCACTCTTATTGATGGGCTGTGTAAAGCCAATAGACTCCCACATGCACGTACTATGATTAATGGATATTGCAAGGCTAATAACATTGACAAGGCCCTAACCATATTCCATGAGATGTTTCGGAAAAGGATAACCCCTGAGGTTGTTTGCTATACCACTCTTATCGATGGGCTGTGTAAAGCCAATAGACTCCCATCTGCACGTAAGCTGTTTAAGGAAATGCAGGCTCATGGAATTGCTCCAGATGTTGTCACCTATGCCTCCTTGCTTGACGGCCTTTGCAAAAGTGCGCTGCTTGACGAGGCAGTGAAATTGCTTGAAGAAATGGAGGATAATGGTGTTAAGCCAGATGTTGTCATCTACAATATCCTAATAGACAACTTGTGTGAGGCTGGACAACTTGAAGATGCAGCAAAGTTCTTTTCAGATCTTGTAACAAAAGGTCTGCAACCTAATATTAAAACATACAATATAATGGTCAAAGGCTTCTGCAAGAAAGGGCTCATGAGTGATATTGCTCAAGTGTTGAAGATAATGGAGGAAGATGGTTTCCCCCCTGATGATGTTACCTATAATACAATCATTAGAGGTTACATTCTCAATAATGATTTGTCAAATGCATTATACTACCGTGATATTATGGTTGGCCAGGGATTTGAAGCTGATGCAGACATCAGAAACTTATCAGCTGAAAAGAAACATTGACAAAGCCCTCAACTTTTTTTAAAGTAATGTAAAAGAAATAGCACCTGATCTTGTTACCTATTACATGTTTCTCTGGATTGTGTAAAGCCAGTATACTCCCACTTGTGCATAAGCTGTTCAAGGAAATGCAAGCTCATGAAACTGCTCCCAGTCTCACCGCCTATGCTTTCTTGTTCCTTCAATATTGCACGATTTGAAGAGACAATGGCAATACTTGAAGCTACAGGGGATAAGGATTTTAAGCCTTCTATGCTTTATTTTTTTGCCTCCTTATGAGAATTCATGTTAGCCGGCCTCTAATCATTTTGGGACTAAGGCTTTTGTTGTTGTTTTGTTTGTGTGAGGCTGTGAAACTTGAATTTGCAACAATCAAAGGCTTCTGCAAGAAAGGGTTATGAGTGAAGCTGTCAAGCTACTCAGTAAAATGGAAGAAAAGGGCTGCTTCCTCGATAGTGCCTCAGGTACCTTTGTAGTTCGATGTTATTATTTAATTTTTTTTGATATTATATCTGCTTGATAAATTGTGCCTCAGTTATATTCTTTGTACCGACTGCATACCTCTCCTTCTTCAATTTCAGTTTGATGTCTTTAATTAAGTGGTTTTATAGGCAATTAGCCTTCTAAATATTATTATCATCTCTTTCTTATGTCCTCATTATTGTCTATTGTGTCAAAGCTCACAGTGTGACATTAAGTTGTTAGTATTACACATCCCTTTAATTGCTTGTGCTCTTGCGGAATGATGAAAGCAATATAATTAGCTACGACCTAGAACTGAGATTTTAAAGCCGAAACACTTGGAAACTTGGAATATGATTAGTACATTCTGAATATGTTAGAATTGCTAAGACCTAAAATCAGTATTGTTGCTACGTAGTACGTTGGATACTGGAAATATTCTGTTAGCTTCACAGATTTAGATGCTTTTAGTTGGCATTAGTTTTCCTGAGCCGAGAAGTCTTGCTTGCTGCATCATTTGGATTCTGTGACTTATTTCCTTTTCTAGTTCAACCCTATTATATGCCTCTGTATAGATGAAGACGTAGAACTTAGATCTTAGAAGCCTGATGCAGGATTGCAATCGCCAGTGAAGAGAATTCAACCAATCTATATCACATGAGAGTATGAGACTCTCTCAATCAAACTTATCATCAAAGAAATTTAAAATAAGTTTTCTTCGGCATTAGGCTGATGCAGACAATTTGAACTCAACTTGTGGTGTGTACACTTGGTTATTTTGCTTTTCGGGTCTAATTAACATGAAACAAACTCAATTGGATGATAAACATAATTATATTGTGGTTTAGTCTAGAAGCCTTGAATTTTTTAGGTGCAACATGAGCTATAAAATTGCCTTTAATTCATTTATTTAACCTCGAAAATCGATTACACAGGACTGTCAAGCTATATGCCGATATTAAACACAAGTACTGCTAAATACATGCAGAAGCTACATCTATGCACTGTAGTAATACATTAGTTCAACAAATTGAATTAGTATACGTACTAACTTTTTCATTATCAAATATCAATCACAGCTGCACTTTTACACAAGTTCACAAGTTTTAATTTACAGAACAGGGGAATTCAGATCTGAACTTTGGCCATCTCAACTATCTCCTTGAGATTAAAGGGGTGAGAATAAGATTTAGGGCCATTGAAAGCCGCTAAAGCTAGGAGCCTGTGAACAGCTTCTGTCGGATGAAATGCATCCCAGAAAGCATATTGATTCCTGTTTAAACATGGTATTAATAAAGGAAGACACATTTTTTCTGCATTATTTCGCCCCACTCCACAGCATGCTCTCTCCAATTCTGTCAATCCTGCAATCCACAGATGACCAACATTAGTAGCCTTGAGATGATCAAGTATACATGAGATGAATAACTGAGGTCGGATTTTTTTTTTTTTGTAAGGATATCTTGCTCAATTTTTTGTTCTCCATAACTTATAATGTCTCGTGATAAATAAGTGTCGGACAATCATCTAATAACAGTTTTAAAGAAAGGGCATTTGCAGGAATTCTAGGATTTGCTTCCAATTAACATTTCTTACCAAACTGGGCAGGATGAGCAAGTATATCCGTCAGAGCCTGGAAGGTATCCCCAAAACTAAAAGTTGCATTTGGGTGGGTGACATTAAATTGATCAACCAAGGTTTTTAGCCTTATGTTGAACATTTGAACCACATCATTGCTGAAGGTAACACATTTATCAGCAGGCAGTCGAGCCACTGTTTTCTGAGAAGGGGTGCAGCCAATTGGCCCTACTCCAGCCAAGAAGAACAGCCTTAGACCTTGATCGTATAGTGCCTGTGTAGAAGGTGAGACGGTGTTAATGGCAATGTTCACATAAACCCTTATTTCTTAGAATTACATTGTGAAGCAAATCAAGTCCTACTGTCTAAGAAAGGTTTGAGTTGTTTTAAACAATCATGTCATATTCTTAAGAAGACTCCATTATGCAAAACAAACACAATAATACCTCAACTACTATAACGAGTAACTCGTAGTTGATCTCGAGGATCCATAAACACCTTATTTCATATCTTTGTGATATTTTAGGAATTTGTGTTTATAGGTAATTTTGGTGTAAACTGACAACTTGACAAGGCATGGATGGTTATGATAGTACCTCAGTGTATAACGGATATCTTACAATTTGTTGTACCTGAATTTGCTTTGTGTATTGGTTGATGACAATATCAGCATAATTTTCGGGCTTGAATTTAGATTGACTTGGGTAAGTTGGATTGAGGTAATTGTTTACATAGTCATTGCTTCCTAGTATAACCACTACCAAAGCCTTTGTAAGGTATTGTTGCAAATCCGTCTCATTCATATGATTCTGCAACTGTCTTTTGGTAATTCCGAAATTCCGAGCCTGTAGACTGAAGCTAAACCTTTCTCCCTGTCATAACTTACACTCATCATGAGATTTTACAAAGGAAATAAGACCAAATTAGAGGAAAAACACGTCAAAAATGATATTGATCAAATGATATTACGCGTCTAAAAAAATTTTAATAGAAAATGTATCATTTTTTTTTGCATCAATAATGACCGTCTTTGCTTATCAGAGCGGCCTAAACTTAAATCAGAATTATAAAAGGACGAGATTTGAAATACATAAAGATGTGATGAGACGGCTTAAGGTTCCTTATACTTGATATTCTAAGGATTAAGAGGAGGAAATTTACCAAGGCTTGTCCACTTTCTTCAAGAATTCCCCCAGCAGCTGAGGCGTAATTTACACCATACATGATATCTCTATCAGTATTGAAAGGATTTGCAAAGGGTGGTAAATAGGGAAGTCCTAGCGATTCAGCTGCATACACAAATTAGTTCATAAAGTATGAATATATGAATGTTGTAAGAAAAAAAAAAAAAATATTAGTATGGATGGGTGTACATAAATTAAAAGGGTCAAATTAATCACCGCATCATTTAGAAAAAAAAAAAAGCCATAAACTACATAAGCATGGCAATGAATTGTGTCGACATGGTGCAACCCGGCCTAAGCCATGGTGGTCATGTCCTGCCAGCCATCCTAGGGACTAGGCCGCACGTTGTGCCATGCTACCTTAAGAAGTTCATAACCAAATCAATCTATATTGTGTTGGAACAACTCATTTTACATCTTACTTGTAAATCTTTTTTTTTTTTTTTTTTTTTTTTTTTTTTTTTTTTTTTTTGAAATTCTACTTCAAACTCACTAGAAACTTGTTTCATGCATTACAAAGTAAAGTAAAAAATAAATTTGCAAAATAGAAAAGATCGAGATTAATGAAATTACAGAGGAAGTCGATTATGGTCTTCCCGTTGGTGAATCTTCCGGTAGGACCTTGATAAAAATCAATCCCGTAAGGGTAGAAGTTTGCTTTAGCTTGGGCGTTCAAGTAGTTGTTGTTTCCATTGTCAACAAGTGAATCTCCAAAGACGTACATTGCTGTAAATTGTTGAGCACTTGATGCCAATCTAGCATGTAAGAATGCATATATTAGAACTATAAAATTAATAATTCTCAATCTCTTGAGTATTCTCATCAAGCATAAATTCTTCATGATAATATTATGTTAAGGTATATTTTTGGTTCTTTATTTTTGTTACTTGTTAAGGTATACGATCTACGAAGAAGTATATAAAGCCTAGCTACATAAAATGTTGTAAGAAAGCATATAAAGAGGGGTACGCGTTATTTTAGATGCACAATTTCCTTGCCAAGTTTGTTAACTTGTGGCCTTTATCCCCAAATTTCCTCTTTGATGCCATATTTTTATGCATGGTTTTTCCTTTTCATTTTCCTTTTGGTATGACTTCTAGGCTTGGGTAATGGAGGTAAACATAGTGGTTTTTCTTTTTTTTTTTTTTTTTTAGAAAACATATTTATTTTATAGATAAAATTAATAACAATAACCATTATTTATTTTTTTTGACGAAACAATAACCATAATTGGCTGGTCTATTGAAATAAACTTAATTGTGCATGAATTCATCTTCACAACTGAGATAATCTCGCCCTTATTTATTTATTTATTTAAACAAAAAGAGTGTTATACATAAATAAATTAAAATTCATAATTCTTCGGATAGATAGAAATATTAGCATTGGATTATTTTGGAGAATATACTTTATTCAATTCAAAATTGAGATTAATCTAATATGTTAACACATACGATTTGAATCATAAACTTAAATTAACCCGCTAGATTGGATACTATTTATTAAATTTAAACAATCACGATTTTTATAGTGTTATGTTATACTTCCTAATTTGTAAGTAAATACTTATTAGTGACTTTACAACTTAGAGCTCACATTACCTAGCTCAAAATTGACAAATTGTAAGCTAAGGTTTATCACACCAACTTGTTTTTTACTAACAAAAAATCATGTTATTCTCCTTGCAACTTTGCAGGTAAACTTCAAGCATAATTATCATGAACAAAGGGATGAAAGTTGTGGGCCATGACAGACAAATCCAGAGGCTAAGTATGGATCAATACATACTTTGAAAGCATTGTTAATGGTTGTGATCATAATTCATGAAAAAAGGATGTCTACATGATATGCCTTGCCTTTTTCCATGAAATATACTCAAGAGTCGAGATGCTTACGTTTCTTTGATTTAATTTCCTACTTTGGATAATTTTGGAGACAAAATTTAAATGGAGAATATATATTATAGCTACTTACTGTGATGAGAATCTACACAACTAACTAAACTTATCTAATTTGAAACTATTTGATCTTATTATAGTATAATTATTTAGTTGTAAATTGAACATAATAGCCCTTGATAACTCTATTAATTACTCCCTTTGTTATTATTGTTTTTTTTTTTTTTTTTTTTTTGAGGAATTGTTATTATTTAGTTGATGTACACAATTTGATTGGCAGGTAGTATTAGATATATTTATTGACTTATAAAAGTACTTGTATTATGTAAAAGTTGGTGGTAGAATAAGTTTTTATCGTACGTAGTTAGTGGGGTGTGAGAACCATTACTTTTGTTGGTTAGAGTGGGGAGTTAAATTTTAATTATTTTCATAGAAGTTGGAAGGGGACCCATAAAAAATGAGAGCTTTTCTTTAGCTAGCTTTGCGATGAAAATATTTCTTATTTTTATCCCCATCACGTAACTCATTTGCTCGAGCTTCCACAAACCAATAGGTCACTTCTAGCATTCTCAAGTCCTCTAGTTCACAAGAGAAGGATTTACACCTCTCAAGAGAAGCTCCATCCACTTGATTTCACTAAATTAAAATTTATATTTAGCTATGAGCATAGATATTCCTTACTTAAGTTATAATTAAGATAAAAAAAGATATTAACCTGTCATAGTTTCATTTGTATCATCATTGTATGGACAATGGGCTTAACCCTTGGTAAATTTCTAGTTTTATGGCGAAGAGAACTCTTGATTGCATTTTTTTTTTAGTGAATGAAAAGCACAATTTAATTTCTAGATCTAAATTATGCATGCAGTGATAATTAGGTAGTGAACGTGAGGAATTAAGGGATATAATTAGTTAAAGTGGTACATAATTGTAGTTACATGCATGAAAGTGGAATTGTGAATCACATGCATATTAAGATGTTTCATGTGAAGGAAGTTAAAGAGAATAGAGAAATGAATTTTTGCAAGCAATGTGGCATGAAAATGCATGACTCATTAATAATGATCGATGCATATGACTGATATCAGTTTAGATAGTGGACACATATGAATTGATGTGTATGTCAAAACATTTTTTTTTTTTAATTTTTAATTTTTAATACTAAGTTCAGAAAAAATGTGAGATGATGTAAAATCAAACCATACAAATGAGGATAATTATTGTAATATTATAAGTTAAGAAAAGGATTTTTTTTTCACAATGTTCGTGGCTCAGCCCAATGCAAACATTTGAATTGATTTGGTTTACTCCATAGCTTTTTATGCCAATTGATATAATACTTGGGTTAGCTTAGCCTAATTATGAACAAATGATTAAAGTATCTAAAAAAAAAATTACTTGTATATGTTTAGGAAAATTAAGTTTGAGTGGTATAAATAAGTTATTTTTTCGAACTTTTTTTTTTTTTTTTTTTTTTGGTGAAAGGCACTATTTTTTCTGTTTCTCAAAAATTGTGATTACTACTACATAGGACCATAGCTCTTTGATCAAAATATTGAAGCACCTGGATTCAGAAAAATGCTACTATGTTCACTGGCAGTTGAAACCTACAGAGATAGCTTTTAGAGAGATTGTTTCCAACATTGCTTGTAGATCAGATGCCCTGTTGTTGACAAGAAGTTTTTGCTTATATAATAGTGTTAGCTTGTGTTTTGTATTTGCTGTCCTTGTATCTTGGGTGAACCCTTCCTAAAAGGCGGTACCTGAGGTACTTGGACAGTTAGGAGTTGGTCTGGACTGTTAGGTCTTGGTCTTTGTAGGGTGTTTTGGGTTGCTTCTTCTTAGCTTTTGTAAGAAGTAGCTTGTATCTTGTGTTGAATTATTTAGAGAATGGTAGACTAATTTCATGTTATTCAATTAATTTACTTAGGTTAAGGTGTTGTATTATTAATTAAATAAGTAATTAAAGCAAATAATCATAATTGACTGTTGTCTTCGGTTTTAATTGTATGGTTTGGATGTACAATACTTTGTGTCATTTGGCTTGTATGGCCAAACAATACTAAGTGACGGTTGTGGCCAAACAATACTAATAAGTGACAGTTGCATGTGGCAGTAAGTTTCATTGTATTGTTTGGCTTTGGTATTATGCTTTATATATATGTTTAATAACATATGATGAGAGTTTTTCAAGAGATAAGTAATTTTTATTATTTTTCTTCTTGAATACTATTGCAAGTCACAATTATCATCATCATAATTCCTTAAAGTTGTTTTACTTTAGATCACAAATATACTACACATAATTGTGATTGTTCTTCGTTGTATCTCCTAAGTGATTTCGTGATACCCGGGTTGTAGTTTAAGGGTCGAAATATTACTTTTGGGAAAGTGATTCCGTTCACGCCTCGAAGTTTATTATTGTTTAATTCCGATTTCTTATTTGTGTCCCTTGTATTTTTAGTATTATCCCCAACATCTTGTTCCTTTTTGGTAATAAAATTTTAACTTACTAAACAAACAAAAACAAAAAACAAAAAAAAAAAAAAAAAAAAAAAAAAAAAAAAAAAAACTAAATAAAAAATTATTGAAGCCAAAAGCCCCAGTTGAGCATTCAATTTTTTTATATTGTGCACATATACAGATTCTTTATACTACAAACAAATATGGCCTGATTTTTTTATGGCATGAGAGATGCCGATGGCCATATCATAAACCGAGCCATGAACATTATTTACATTTTGATCAATTCGAAACACACATAAAACAGGTAGTACATGCATGAAGTGTGCTTATTAGTAGTTGATGGAATATCATTACAAGCTAATTGATACAACACGACGTATTTTGGCCAAATTCTTGACACGACTCATAGGCTTGCACAATCCGGCCCATGCCTAGCTCCAGTGGTGGTGCACACTGAATACCGGGAAAGCATTGTGCCATTGTAGTTGTTAACTTGTTCTGGAGGACTAGAGGGACGGGCAGTGATGATACCTACCTTCATCCTCTTTGACTCTATTCTTTAACCCTTTCACTTCACACATCAACTAATTCACAAACTTCGTACTAGTGTATTAATTTTAGTTATTGACCTATAAGAAATTGTTTACAACTTCATACTCCAATGTGTCAATACTTAATTTAGAAATATAGATTGAAAAAATAGATGCCAATGTGCTGCCATGTTGCTCCTGAAGACCAATTTTTCGGACTGCTAAACAGTTGGAAAACCAAAATATGCTTACACAACTTATATCACTCCATTAAAAATTGGACCTACCAATATAAGCACAAAATTTTGTCTGTGGTATGTACATTTATTCATACAATATTCTTCATACTTTTCTCCAAAAGTGAATTAAAATCTCACGGAGTAACAATTAAAAGTTATTTCTATTTGTATTCAATCAATAATATCAGGTGAATAAAAATATGAGTACTTCACATGAAACTGAAAGTTCGTATTGGCCGGTGAATCCAGTCCATTTTTTGGGTGTATTCAATTATTTATTTTTACTTTTTTGAATTTATTCTTTTTTTTGTTTAAACTTAGCTTAATTTATCAAATTAATAGATCAAACCCTAAGTAGATAAGGCTCTTTGGGGCTTGGGTTTGAGGGGTAAGATTAGAGTACCCTACCACTTAAATAACCTCAACGGGAATTAATCCACATGACATATTTTACGAGGGTTGAAACTTGAACGGGGCGTTTGGTGAGAGTGATGGGATTAAGTGGGATAAGAAGATGAAACTAATAAATGAGATAAGGAGAAAAATAAGGTATTCCATTGTTTGGGATTGGTTGGGATTACATTGGAATAACTAATAAAAATAAAAATTACCTTTACTATTCTTTCTTCACTCTCTTCTTTCTCTTTCATTAAGGGTAGAAATGTCTTTTACCCATTAAATTTAATCCTCATCCCTTATACCACCCTCTAGTTATTAATTTGGAGGGATAACTCCCTTTTTAATCCCCCTCCTAACCCCCAGCCCTCTAAACAAACAAAAGACTTGTTAAATCCCTCCTCTTTTATCTCATCCCTCTAAACAAACACCCTCGAAAGGATGACACGTTTTAACTTTTGATGAGCACTATCTATAAATTTGCTTTGACTAATATTTATGATTTGCGGATAGAAAACAATGGTCATATCACTCATATGGAATCTTGTTAGCTTTAGTTACAATGTACATAATTAAATTTTAATTTTTCGTATGTTTAACAATTTTATAATTAAAAATATTTTCGATTGAATTTTTGCATTGTCAAACGTGATAAAAGAATTATGCTATCTAATTTAGAAGGGAGGAAATATGTTTCCATTCTATTTTTTAATGGTGACATTGATTTTCATGATTACAGGTGCATCCTTATTTTAATATTTTTTTTAGTAAATTTATACTCCGTAAATAAGAAAATTAGAGTCATTAATGGCTAAAATTTTACATTGACA